GTGGCGTGTTGAATGCGTATGTGACCTATACAATGACTTGCGGTGGCCAGCCGATGTACAAGTCAAGGCTTTTTATCCTCCCAGACGAGTCTGGTACCAATAAATCGAACCAGGATGGAGGGAAGGCTTAGTTGGCCCAGGCCGGTATCGATCCGCGATTCGAACTCCTGACCATGCGTGTATGAAATTCGCCACATACCACTACACAATCTTCGTCCCAATAATAGTTCATACAACAAAAATTCAAGTTCATCAAATTCTTGGTGGTTGTGATCCCTTCACCTCGTTTTTCCTCCCCTCTCCTCCACCCCCACCCCTTGCAGTATCACCTGCTGGATTCCACGGCAAAAACTTGATGTCGTCTGGGATTCTTCGCTAGTAAAATTCTCAAACGAGCTACATCCCGAGATCAGCTGCTGTAACGTTTCAGTGGAATGACATTTTTCTCTTTCACTGAGCGCAAAAGGTCGTGTAATAAAAGCTGATTGTCCGCTGCACACATTACATTCACCCAAAGCAATTTTGAAATGTCAATCTCATGCTAAAAAAGTAAATCTCTTTGCTAAATATAGAAGTTATTATTACTTTATGAAGCCAATTTTTTCCTGTTGATTGCAGGATAAATGCGTTTCACTATTAAGTGCATTCTGAAAATAGTTCTTCTTGAAAAAAGTTTTGTATCTTACCTGATTTCCATGACAGATGGCTCTGCGATGAGAACAAATAAGTTCAGTAAGGTCCAGACGCCTGGACCTTACTGAACCCACCCACTCACCACCTAGAAGACGATGTTTTATGTTGACAATTACTTTGTAAACGACTTGGCCCACCATTCAAAGACTTGCCCAATTTTCCTTGCCCGTCATTCAAGTTTACCCTCTGAGCCATGATTTCTAGCACTTACGTGCCTACATTTTTTGGAAAGCTAACAGCTAAGCTCTATGCGGGGGAAGGGGAGGGGGAGGGGATGGAACATTGGTCCGTCCGGAGACGCACGGGGCAAATTGCGCGGCGAGTTAATACTCACATGGGACACGGCAGTCGAATTGATTTTGTGTAATCGACCGGCCGCACGCGGCAGTCGCGGACTAGTTGCCTTGTTGTTGCAGTTCTAGCGCTCTTTAAATAGCTCGGTCATTATGATTTTTGGAATGGTTCTCCTTTTTGGTTCACTGTATTCCTTACTCGCTACGATGCTTCTGCTTCACTCTGTTGCATTCTTTCGTGCGCGACGTCGCTCTCGCCGCGAGTGATCATTTCGATTTAACTGCACCACACATCTGTTTGTAAACTAATCACTTGGCATCTCCGTGATTACTATGGGCTCTGAAAGTCTTCCTCAAAAGAAATAGACACTGACTTCCTCCAATTTTGACGTAAGACCCACTTATTGCCTACCTAATTCTGCATAGAAGCTGAGCGTGCGGCGTACTCCGAACAGTTAGTATGAACCTGATTATCCTATCACCATTTCAGCTTCAGCCCACCTGATCCATGGGTAAATTCCCAGCNTAAAATCAGGGGTCCCTCCCTGCCATTGTCTGCACTTTCGCAAAGTGTTTTTTCATTTTATCAAAGGCTCTCTGAATGTTTTCTGACATTTCTTCAGACAATTGATACTACTGTTGAGCAAAATTCGGGCCCCCATAACTTTTTAAGGAGAATCATTTTGCAATTTCAATTCCCATTTTCGTAGACAGCATTCAAAACTCTATCGATTTATCTGGATCTGAATTCAAAGTTCCAAGATAAGTAGACTACCCCTCCCTGGTTAGCACTACTTACCGCTGATAATCATTACTTGATTTCCATTTGACACCTTTATTAAACTGAAGTGAATGAAAAGTAGATGGCCACAATAGGAATGACTATGAAAATGATTTTTCCGCCGGTGAAACACGCCAATATTCATCTCTTGTTACCAGCATCTTTCAGCATTATCAGATTAGAACGGCTTTGAGGCAATGATAGTGGTGTTCATCATTCGGAGATCTTCAAGCAATAAAGGCACAGCTGCTCCCAGAAAGATTTATAGTCGACAGACTAAATATATCTCAAAACTATGCGATGAATCTGCTGACAATCCTCCCCCAATCTAAATTAAGGCTCTTAAACCAGGACTTATGACAGATCATCTGTATCTAGCTTGCTAGTCGTCGATCTCGATGATCTTTTCAAATCCTGAGTTCAACAAATGGATCACGTCGAGAGATTGTGGCTTGATTTACCTTGGCTTGGATTGCAATCATGACAGTGCCGCCTCATGCCGCTACTCCATTGCCGATACCTGCCCTTGAACTAGATAATAAGCTGGTGACCCTAGAAGTTAGGTAGAGCTATTTAGAAAGTATTCTTCTTTATAATACTGTTTTCTTTACGCCATTGCATCAAATATTCCATAAGACCTGAGAAATCTCTGCCCAAACCTTCCGATTTCGATTAACATAACAAAAGCGCACGAGACTGTGATGTGATGCCCAGACGACTGCTTTCTTGCGAAATTCATAAGGAATTCGGTCAACACCTGACCTGTGAGGTGGCAAGTCGAAAATTTTTAAGCCATACCTTCATAAAACAATAACTTACAGGAGCAAAGCAGTTTCTTTCACTATACATTTAGTTCAATCTAATAATAAGTCGATTTACTTGAAACCGATCCGAACTTCTCTAGTTGTAGGACAAAACTGCTTATGATGACACCCAAATCGATCATTGAGTCATCACACATAATCTTTGAGCGCATAGGGAATTCAAAAGATCAAGCTTGCATCAGAAAACCACACAGGAACAATGAATATTGACTTTATTCGGAGAATTTTTACACGTTGCAGTGACAATTGTGAGTACACAGTGCCTATGGTGCGACACCGGAGGCCTAATTATAAAAAAATATAAAACTATAACAATCTGCGAATAAAAAACGTACACCTGATGTCCCCTCATGATTATTCGTGCTGCAAAGATCATGAAAGTAGTTCAGGGTTTGCGGGGTAGCTAGACTTAGAAGAATCTGGATTTCGAGATGTGATATCTATATTTTCGAAAAAAAAAATTAAAGAAGTATATGACTTAGATGGTATCGCTTTTTAAAACAATAAATAATAAAGCAATTACTGACTTGACATTGATGTACATATTAAAGCATGTGTTATGAGAGCAGCTAAAGCAAGAAACGGGGAAAACTGTTGCACAGAGTGTATTGTTACACATACAAAACAAAAAAAAAATGAAAAATAGGCAAGTTAATAACATAACATCCCGCTAGTATCAAATATAAGAACGAAGAAATAAAACACAAAAACGGGGCGTAATTGGCGCTAGCGACCTGTTTCCTTTGCTCTAGGAAATCATACAAATTTAAACAAAATACGTACCGCCATACTTCTCTCCTACAGCCTAGAGGCACGTGTATTGATTTGATGGTAAAATGTGACGGCCAATCCTTCACATACGCATCAACTCAGGCAGCTGAAAGCCCCACAATGTCTCTACACATGTAATGATATTAATTTGTTAGCAGTGCTACACCGCCGGTTTAGTAGTATGACACTATTAGCGATCCCTTAGGGCAAAGGGCAGGTGTACAGAAAAAAAAGAACGAAAACTCGTCCAATATTAAATCAATGCGCGAAATGTAGAATCCGTTAGAGACTGACGTCAATTCGATTGAAGCTGTATGGATGACATTTGACAAAAAACGGTGTAGCAATCTGACTGGCGGATGGGATGTGCGGGAAGAAGGGGGAGCAGCGAGATGCAAGAGTGTGTGATAGTAGTAGGGAAGGATTGGAAGGTAGGGAAGAAAAGGGTAGATGATGCAATAAAATGGGATGATGGGACCAGTGTAGGAGGGGATACGACAACGACGATAAAAAATGCTGAATGCGCACATCACATCTAGCTTGAGCTGTGCTCTTTTTCTGCGACACACACACGCACTTACACACATCACATTGGTGACGGGTAATACCACAGCACTATGACTATCAGCGACAATAAAAGCGCCAGCCGTATATACAGCCCTTACCACCACAACAGTGACTCGAAATATTTTCTAGAAAACATTCACTCTCCTCTCTATAAAAAAGGAAGGCAAATTAACTGCCAAGAACGTTCACAGAAAACGAGTCAGTGCTGCACGATGTGATAAATGACTACAATTATGAGATGGCGTCTTAAAAATGCATCAAGGCATGTGATCGTCGTGAAATTCCGCACTACTATTAAAGCGCTCTTAAGCCATCTACGAGACTTATTCCATATTCTAGAATAAAAAAATGCAACGATATAAATGTAGAACGACTAGAGTCCAACGACATAACATCATCGTTGGCGATGGCTAGAATGCACGAGCAGAAACACTGAAGCAGGCGGAGGAGATAAGACGAGAATATACGTGATGTGGGGGAGAAACGGAGAGAATATGGAGGCTTTGGCAGTTTGCCAAGCGGCTCGCGCCAACGGCAAGAAAGTAATAGGTGAGCAATAGCGGTAAGGGATAACTCAGCACATAACACATACAGATTGCGTGAGGGACGGTGGCGTCGAGACAACGGCGGCGGCAGCACAAATTGCATACCGCACCACCGGGCAGCTACAAAAGCTCGTATTGCCGAAGATGAATGCGCTGAATGATATCGCGACAGTCGTTGAACACCCGCCGAATATTCTCCGTGTCAACAGCACACGTAAAGTGTGGATAGCAGTGATGTCGACCGTCACCGGCAGCCGTTGAGATTCGCTGAAACGGCAATGCAGTAATACAAGGAAAGTGTGATTAGAAAAATTCAAAAACATACTTTAACTCTATAATTTCGACCCAAAAGAACGAATGAAAGAGGTCAATTGTGCGTTTATCACAAAACTCAGAAAGAATGCCGTACTACTCGTAATCAGTGCTTAACGGCGCGGTAGAGGTTTTTAGTTATGAGATTGCGCTTCAAGAATTTATTTGAAAATGTGTTGTGAAATTTCGCAAAATGGACCCTGATGCCGAATGTAAACCCACTCCAAGGATAAGGATGAGGGATAGTCTTCGGGCGTTGATCGACCCCGTCAGAGGGATCCGCCCACGCATTCGACTTCAGGATCGTGGCGTATTGAAAACGTATNGCTTAAAAATATAGTATAATATAATATAATAATATATAAAAAAGGAATCGAACCCGTGACCATGCGTGTGTGAAGTGCTCCACGCCACTTGTTACTACACCCCCTGGGCCCCAACCCACTCTAAGATCCATGGAAACGTAGCATATTGCACGAACAGTTCAATAGGATCAGAGTTAATTACCAAATTAATTTGAATTGCACCACTTGACCCAGAAGAACTACAGACACGAAAGCACCGTTCAACAAAGCATTTTCTCTTTTGTTGACTAAGGGAGCACGTCACGCGACTTATATTTTTAGAAACACTGCGGCGAACAGTAAATACTAAAAGCTTCTTTTGATGACTCAGATGAGACTGCTAACAATTGAGACACTTGAAGTGCAGAAAGATATTATTTGAAGAGAAAAACGCAGCCAACAAAATCATTATTACAACAACCGTTAGCTATCATTTCATTCTACACTTAGTCGGAAACCCAATCTTAGTTAATGAAAATTAAGAGGAGTTCTCGATGTTAAACAACTTTTACTCAACCATGAACACCACCCTATCTACCTTCGCGAAACTGGCCTCTCGGAGCCTTGGAAATGTGAAAAAATGGCCAGGGAATGACCACACACAGCGATCATGCAGTATTTCGGAAATCGAAGCAAACAAAAATCGGACTATCTACAACTCTCTAGGACTGTTCAAGTTATTCCATGGGAATCACAGAATAATACCAAGTTTTGGTAAATACAGCTGTTGAAATACACAGCTGAACAATGTAGCTGAAAATAAGCGATCCCCAGATATAGAAGGAAGTCCTCCTCCGTGTGCCACATTGGACAAAATAAATATGAAGAACAGAAGAACATAATTAATAGGAGTTATTAATAATAACAACTCACCAAAAACTCTCCCCGGATGAAGTACTTTGCTCGTACTACGTCTTTATCATCTGCTGCATCAAATACAGCATCGGATGGTAACTGGTAGTTAGCAAACTCGGGAAAGTATGACTCAAGTAGGTACCGCTTTGCCTTGATCTTTTCTGATAACAAGTCCTGAGAAAAGAGAATCATCTTCATTAAAGAGGAATACTGTAACTATTTTGAATGAGAAACTAACCTGCTTATTCAAGAACAAAATGACTGAAATCGTTTTCAACCAGCGATTATTCCAAATATTTTTAAACAGAGACAGCGATTCTCGCAATCTGAAAAACCTCTCTGTCAAATGTATTTGAAAAAAAAANAAAAAAAAACAGACGTAAATAATGCTCTACTTTAACAAAGAATAATGAATCTTATTATCTGGAATGGAACTTTGCCTTCAGACGAAAGTCTTACCGATTTTGTGTGCTATCTTCCCAAAGAACAAGATTGTACGATGATGATGCGCAAACAAAGATGATAGCCGTAACATCATTGAAGCATTGAATCCATTTTCGTCTTTCGTCACGCTGACCACCGACATCAAACATGCTGAAATCATCATTATATACCGTATTCCATGTCACTGAATGTCAAAAATAGAAAACTTTCAGATTGGATACTCACTGGAAACGAACTTTATCCACCTCAAACTTGGTTTCGAAAATACCTGTCGTCATAACACGGCAACGAAGTATGTCCTGAAGGAAATTCTGTTAACTGAACAGCATTTTTGCACCCTTCGTGCATATCGACTTAGGTGCCAGATTGCAGCTAATAGCAGGTAATAGATCATTAGCAGTAATGGTGAAATCAGATGACAGTTGCTGGCCTGCCAACTATTATACAACATAATCCGGAACTTAGAGACAAGTTCCAGTCACACGGAGTATAATTACAAATAAAATAAATAATCAAACATTGGAAAAACCCGCACGCATTCTATTTACCTGCTCTGACGGATCGTAGTTTGGTTGACGAACAACATCAATCTTATCCAAGAAGCTGAAATAGGTTTAGGTAAAAAGTCACATCTAGTATCATAGCAAACATCAAATACAAATACAACAGCGGCTGAACACATCTTTAACTGACCAGAATATGAAGCTTGTTCAAGAAACCAAACAAAATAATGGGGTTGAATTTGAAAATAAAATGAGTTTCATCAAAATCAACTTCCACAAGAAAAAGAGCTGCGCATTAACATCGGTGTTTGAAAGTATTTGTTGTTCCTCCCATCATTTATTTCTCAATTACTATTTCCCCATCATCATCTTCGAACCCTTTCGACCAGTGACTGGAGCAGTGCTTCTATTGCGGCTTCAGAAGGATAGAGTGACAAGCGTTTCGCTCTAACATCCGAAAATGTCCTTCACTATGACGCCGACCAGTAATTCTAGACTCGTTTGTTCATGAAACGGAGAACCCCTTAGCAATGGCTACAAAAAGTCATCTTGTGATTCGCCATTATTGGACATTCCAAAAATTGCTTCATCCAACGGTTTCCATTCTTTCCAAGATTGTGGCTCTCCTACGACACATGTCATCGATGCAAAACCTCAGGTGAATATTCAAACTAATCAAATACACTGTGAATGTAAACTCATGAAGCATAGCACTTGGCGTTAGCAAATGTCGTTCAGGGAGAGGTCTACGCGTCCGACACATTTTCGATGTCATTATAGCTTTTGAATAAGTACTGCAAGAACTGAGCAGTACCTCCGGCTTTAAGATTGTTCCTATCTTATATTTATTAAAAGAACAGGCCCCCTTACAAGGGTGCGATGTTCAACAGATGGAAGTGATCAAAACTATCCAACAACCCTAAACAAGGTAAGCACCATCATCGTCCAATTGTGCTACTTCTACACATGCAAGTGTCACGTCCCAAGAGCTCGTCACCTTAGGTTGGAGCGAATGAGATGCAATGAATCCACAAAGCAAATGGTTTATGTCACGAAGCATTTCAGCGACAGGTCACGTATGTACCTTTGCTGATTGAGCAGCACCACCTCAGACCGCTGAACTTGACCCAAGCCAAACGCATTGAATGAAGCCTAGTCTCGAGAAAGGTAAAGGTGATTTCCTCCTAGAAGCAGGAAATCACCTTTACTTTCTTTCAGTCAAAATCATAGGTAACGAGTCAGTATTAGCCATACACAAACGTTTGTGAGAAATCCTAGAAATCTGCATATCAAGCGAAAAAAAAAAGCAAGAAATTTGCTTTACTAAGGAAGAAAATGTTTTTTTTCGGAATGAACAAACTTTGATTATTCACTCTCTAACTACAAAAATACATATATAACTTTATTCAAAATAAGAGAAGATACTAGGAGGGGAATATGTGCCTACCGTACCCGCGACTATTATACTAAGTCCTGAAAGCATTTCCACAACCTGGTTCTCAATGATATTCACTCACTTAAGCTCTAGAGCAGGGGCAGGAGTGAAGTGTGCATAAGAGGCAATATGCTGGTGAATAGTGCATTAGCAGCAATTAGTACTGATAAGTAACTAAATAAGGCAAGCCCAGTATGAAGTTTGGTAGATAAGTTTAGCCTCATCGCAATGGCGATTTAGGTGGAAGCAAACCTAACATTAGGATTCCTTGACTTAAAAAAATTACAAGAATTCGTAAAAAAAATATAATAAAGAAATTGATACAACAAGATCGAAGTTGGTGTTACTACAGTTATCGCTGTAAATTACACAACGCAGAAGCTTTTAGTACGGTAAAACACAGTAATAACTAATAAAAGAATGATCTAAAAGCTTGTGCAAACTTAGTTTGTAATTGAAAAGAGTCAGTGACTGGCCAAGCGATTGGAGGACTAGAAGGAAAGAAAAAGAAGGAATCTTGGCTCTGTTAAGAATGCAAACATATGTTGGGGCTTTTCAGAGTTCATAGGGAACATTTACAACAACTCGATAACACTTTACTTAACAAATTACCGGCCCAGATGACTACTGAACGGATACATAGGAGACATAAGATCCAATAAAAATGACAGTGTTTGCTTACGAAGCTTTTTCTTCATGAGATGTTCACTGGCTGGCGACAGCTTGATGGTCACAGAAAAAAACAGATGAACAACGATTTGCATCGAGATATACGCGCGTGGGATACTTCGCAATTCTCAATGTTTCTGGGGCGTTAACCATAAGGCTGACACAAAATACCAGCCACCTATTGTAAAGCATTTTTCACACATACAGACTTTCACGGCAGAAAACAAGCTGCCCGCTCTTCGCACGTGGTAGTTAACAAAAGAAATTCGGGGCAATGCACAGAATACAAGGTGCCTCATCTTATAAAAATTAATGATCGCAATTCTGAGAACCAAACAAAACACTATCACCTTGAGACAACTGAGCACCTCTACACGGTTTCTACTGTAATCGTTTGAAATAAGCTATTTGTTTGACATAAGCTATTCGTTTGAAACAAGCTATTCAAATGTATGAAAACATGATGCTGATGTAAGATGTAACTGAAACGAAAAACTTACTATTTTGCACAGTCAATTAGTTGGTATTCGCTGCTTCGTTCGTAACACGCCTGCACACCCTTGTCAGCCCAACACTTCGCGACATGGTCATAGAATTCCTGTAACCAACGCACTCACTACTTTTCTCACTCTTGAGTTGTTTTCTTATAGGGAAAAAAAGATGGCAGTTTGAGAAGTGATATCAAGAAAAGCTGTTACAGTAACATGAGGAAATAAAGCAAAAAGCAAATGATTAACAAAAAAAAGAACATTCGATGGTCGAAAACTAGCCACAAAAACGCAGATACTTTGTTACGAGGATCAATCAAAAGACAATCATATCAAACGATGTAAGCTGTATTAGGAAGAAAGCTGAAAGGTGAACACTCCTATATGAAACGAATATATGCAAAAGGTGCAGTTCTACCTGTGAAAATTCCCCATCCACTTCGTTTACACAGTTCAACACATAGTCCATGCTCGCCTGAGTGCTTGGATCGTCCAGGAACACTCGCGGATCGATCGTGCCCATCGCGCGCAGAATTACCTTCAATCAAACAACATGTCGCGCTCGAATCTTACAGTCTCAACAACACTTATCGACTATCGTCTCTTCAAGCGTCTTGAAGAATAAAACCAGTTGTCAGGATTTCAAAGAAGATGTTTTTAATACATAAACGTTCCCATGGAACAACAATTATGCTGAGTCATGCTAGAAACACGTCTTCGCCGTCTAAATATAGAACAGGACGCCAATAGTCAGCAAAATCGTTGATTGAAAGCGCATAGCGTTTCGTTCTCCAATAAGAAGTTAGTGCTAAAAATAGCACACGAGAGCGCGCCGACTACGAAGATAAGGATTAGCGTCATTTACAACGTGCTGTTTGAAGTTACATGGTTGAAGATGCTAAGATGCTGTAGAAAGAGGTTTCTAATAGTGATAAGGGACATACAAACCTGCATGGAATCACGTATATTTCTTCGGATATCCTTGATTTTCTCCATTTTTTCAGCCTCGCTGAAGCCGTTGATGTGCAATATTCGCATCTGTTTCACAATTGTGCTTTTACCACTCTCACCAGCACCAAGTAAGAGAAGTCGATGCGTGGCGCGCATGACCTACAACACACCACACCCCAAAATACACTGCACATCTATTTTTAGCACACACCAGATCAATAACTAATAAACATTGACTGGACGGAATTTCACCGGGAATTTTCGTAATCAGGGCTCACCTGCTTGTCCTTGGCGAGCTGCTCCTCGATCTGCTTGTTGACTTTCCGCGCTTCGCGGCCTTCCGCGTCCGCGCCAGCGCCAGAAACGCAGCCCATCAGCCGCATCCTACCAGGCCAGAGAGACTGCGCGCACGCCGGCGCGGCCGCTATGGCCGGACGCTACGCAACCGCAGCGCCTTGGCTGCCCTCCATTCGAGACCGCTCAATTCAAACAGGTCGCCGTCCTTTGATAAGGATAAATCCGTGTAATCAACAAGCTGATATTTGGGTTTTGAAAGTTATGGGGCTCATAACAACTGCCGGTTAACCTCTAGAGTAGTACCTGTTAGTTTGATTACGAGTACTTTGTTCGCTAACCCTAATCTCTCAGTAAAAACCTTGTTGTAATGAGTCATATTCAGTGTGACTCACCATGACTTTGATGTCTTCTTCGTAATTTCATTCATTACCCAAGTTTGTTCTTGTTGTGTGGTCATCCATCTTTTGTACTTCATATGGAAAGTATTTCAGGTAAAACCCTCGCCAAAGTCCCGGAACGCTTACGTCGAAGTCGTTTCCGTATCTTAAATTATGGCAACGACCTCTCTACAGGTGAGCGGTTTGTTGTTTCTTAGTTTACGTCTTGATATGTACAAGTATATGTGAAGAAGACGGAATCACTCCCAAAACGTCCTCAGTAAAGCGCATTCGCGCGATCCAGCTTTTCGAAATGTTCATCCATCACCATATGGCGATTTGGTTACACCCGTTTAGGTTATCTAAATCACAATTCTTTCGATAATGTATTTTACTTGCTTCTTGTACATCTGTATTATGCCTCTTGGGAAGTGTGCAAAACTTATTTAAGTTTGAGTGAATAAGCACAGTGTAGCACCGAAAAATCCATCAGTGCAGGCTAGTTTTGAGCAATTTCAGTTCCATCCAATCCTTAATAAGGTCTAAACCCTTTGTTAAAAATGGTAATGATTTTGACGAATAAACGCACTGGGTACATAGTTCATACGCACGATATCGATGTTTTTTTACTGTTTCGAAAAGTTCTGCACTTAACCGTTCCTAAAGTCTGACGGCTTTTCATCAACAAAAGTTTTAAGAAAGCGATTGAACTGGTAACAACTGCTACTGAAGAGGATAAAGCTGGCAAATATGAAACGGCAATGACCTACTACGATCAAGCAATATCATACTTCATTCACGCCATTAAATGTAGGTTATTCTTTTGAATTCTGCTCATTACTTACTTAGCCGTGATGAAATGTCCATCTGTGTGTCAAGATTTCCCGTTTCGCAATAGCCCCTGACTGACACAGATCATAACAGCTTGGTCATGCTCTTTATTCGTGCTAGCTGGTAGTAATCGAAGTCACCATGGAGCAGCCGTTTGCTCAAAATTTTTTCGTGGACTTACCCTACCTGGTTAGATGTGTTCAGCAGTTGGAATGAGGATTGCTTGTCTTAATAAATGTCTTGAGCCACTGATCTCTCTGTACGAAACTCCCATGAAATTAGCTGATTATGACTAAAATCAAGCGAAAGTTTTTGAATGAACATTGCACGCACATACATTTTCCTGACGGTTCGGCTAATGTTAATCCTTTTTTTCTGGAGATCGCAAGCTGCTACAAAAATCATTAGAACCGAGGCTAGAAATTCTCCATTTCTACATGCATGCATCGCTACTGTAAAACGCATCGTTTTTTTGACCTTGGTACTTCGAGAAAAAGGATTTTCGCCAGCTTTAGTGTCTACAGCACTTCAGTTTACCGGTATAATTCAAATTCAGCTGTTACGTTGTCACTGTTTAGATCGAATGCTATGAAATATGTGCAGTGATTCACCTGTCGTGAGAGTTATGTTGAAACACTAAGCGCATGTTGTGTTTGTTCACCTTTCACCTATTTGGCTTTTCCCATCCCATTTTTTGGTACTTCTTGTCGTCTGTCAAGATATCAGGCCAAGTTCGAACTCTGGATCGTGATTGTCTTACTAAAGTAGTGTTGATTAATGTTCAAGCTGCTCGGGCAATAAGAAAGAAATGGCGCTCAAAACAAGGTGAAGAACAGCACAATTCGCAAAGTTCCGAAAATAAAACGTTCGCGGTCTTGGATGGTAGGAGAGTTGGACCTGTGATAGTAAATGGGTTCATGTGTAATATTTTAGCTCAGGAAAACGATACTGTCCATCAGCCGAATAGGAGTTGTTTTCCCGGTCTTCTTTTTTTTTACTAGGATAAAACATGTACAGTCACTTTTGAAGAGTTTCTTTTAGGCTGCAGCGTTATTTTTCTTAGTGACAATTATTTTTGGACGAAGGGATAGCGCGCGAATGGCCTCCTAAAGTTTCTCTGAGTACTCCATATCCCATGAGGGAAAATGAAGCTCTTTGCAGATGAGGCTCAAGGTGACAAGCAGAAGGAGACGATCAGATCAAAGTGTACAACATATTTGAATCGGTACGAACAAATTAAAAAGTTTCTCAAGGAGGGCAAAGACAAAAAGCCTGTGAAGGTTAGTTTTTTTTTTCGCAAAATTTGTGTACTGTTGACTTTTGTCCTGAATTTGTTGCATTCGGCGTCAAGCAGGTATTCAGGAACATTAGCTCCTTTTAGCGTCAGTAAATTCTAGAACATTGACGGTATTCCCATGTAAATCTATGTCTCACCGCTCACACAGCTAGTCAGGTGATAGGTATTGTTCGACAAGGAGTCCAATTACGTCACACCAGTAGTAAAGAAATTGGTCGTGTGTAGTTCCAGTTTTCACTTTTATTCTTTCATATTTCACGAGACACGCAAAAGGGATCATGCTTAAACCCGCCTGTTTCTATGCGCGCGTTTAGCCGTTGAACTTTTTGTCCAGGGAGGCGATCAGTTCCTTTTGCTTATTCAGAAACCTGGTGAAGTACACATGAAAATTCCTCTAGGATTGGTGAAGGTATATGTTGGGTCTAATCTCAACGTAAGTACTTTGCTACTGCCTCCTTTCTAAGACCATAATGACGCATAGGATTGACTCTGCAATAAGTTTAGCATCTGGTTGTAAATCGAACTTGATCCTGAAACTGTTCACTTTAATTTGTTGTCGGCTTTTTAACAATGCCATATTTCAGGAAGGGAAAGATTCGAAAGATAGTGACTCTGACGAGGATGCAGATAAGAAGAAGTTGCAGGTATCTTTGAAATTTCTTCTTACCCAAGCTTCCCTCACAACCTTTATCTCTCTATAGATAAGGTTGCCTTAATCTAAACCGGTCTGCCTTCAAAACTGCATTTTTCATTGCAAAATGAGAGAAGTGGTGTGCGCAACATGTTTTGTGACTACTTGGAAAAGTGTAGCAGGGGCGATTCCCCTGTAGCTCACTGATGCAAAGTTGCTGCGTGTAGTCAGGGCAGTCCCGATGGATTTCATTTATTCTACTACCATATGTAGAGATAACAGTGGAAGTGCAAAGGCTGGTCTATATTTACCGGTTCATTTTCTTTTCTCTTGTCACCTTGTCGTATTCTGAAGGGTAATAAGTGGAGTTAGGGGTTCAGTACTGCGGGATAGTTTTGTAGTAAAATTTGGACCACAAAGCCACATTGGCATGTTAAATGCATACCTTTTCATTTTTTGCTATCAACTGTAAGCAGTGTAAGAAAAATCTCATGTGATTTGTTGTTCCTGTTCATTTTGGTCCAAGCAACCTTTCACATTTTGAGCTAAAAAAGAAAATGAAGCACATTTATCACATTAGCAAGGGAAAGCGGTTGATAAACGTATCCCATAGGTCTCATCTTCTGATTATTGAACTTTGGTTCACCTCGAAGGCAGTGTAAATTTTACACATGCTCATCATGCAGGGTGCGTTCACTTCTTTTATGGATTTCGTGGAACCTTGAAGTAAAGACACAATTCGTATTGTTAAACGCGTTTGAACATCCCACTCTTACGCCAATAAAATCGTATATGGAGTGGAGTGATTCGGATTAAAGCGGCTGAAAAGGTGCTCTTAGCACATGCAAAACCCTTTCAAACTGATCAATCCTGAACATGGACAACGGTTTTACAAGATAAGGGGCTCCGATATGATTACATAGTTATTTGAATAGTAATTAAGCATGCACTCAGAAGTATTTAAGTTTCAAAATCAAGGGAATTACATTGATTTTTTTAATAGTCGCATCTGCTACATTGTCTATAGTTGTCTCATCGTAACCTTTTTTCAACTGTTCGGCATTAAGGACAAGCTATCGGGGGCGATCGTAATGGAAAAACCGAATGTAAAATGGAGCGATATCGCTGGTCTGGAAACAGCAAAAGAGGCGCTCAAGGAAGCAGTCATCTTGCCGATCAAATTTCCTCAGCTTTTTACTGGTAGGCCCTTGAATGTTCAGCAATGTCTTTTTTTCTACTTTGCTATTCTATTACCAATCGTTGCCTTTATAATTACTTTGATGAAAATACCTAATAACGATATTCCCTACTCCCTGCTCTGAGTATTGGGTTCCTCTATATCTGGTAGAATTGGGCACATTTCTAAGAACAATGGTTGTGTATATGGGTACTGGTTCTCTGCAATCTAATTATGAGCTTGCTTTCAACTTGTAGAATTTGTCTTCATAAATGATTTGAGACCTAATATTCGGAAGTAGTACAACTAAAATGCGCATGTATGGCTTCATTTCTCCTTGGCACTTAGACTTCGGTAACAAAAATACGAAAACAATGGGAACTCAGAAAATTACAAGCTGGGTAATTGCGATTCTCAGGTGGATGTTCGATATATGTGGTCGTTCCTTCAAAGTGGATATTGGAGGTCTCCCCCATGAACACTGCTTTCTATTATTAGCTTAAACGTGCAGCTGTCGTCGCCTCTTTACAGAGGAACAATTCACCTTAGACTTTAAAGTTGCGCTTACAATTAGGCGTACTGTGTGCGAATTTTAACATAATCGAAGGATCTATTCACTAAATTTTCTCCATAGTTTATTTGAAAAATGAATACTTCTCAAAAAAGCGTAAAATTTTCAAGTTCAACGGTGGTATCCCCCAATCAGGGTCGCCTAGCTTCTAACTTTTTGGGCAATCATTTTTTACTTTGTTCTTCATCCAGGCGTAGACAACCGTAGTTGAGGAGTAGATGTGTAGATATTTCGCACTTATACTTTTCTGTGCTCTTCGGCTGTAAATATGTATTAACCTATTGCGTACGCGTGCTACACCTGGTGCAGCACGCCCCTTCGCCTCTGCGTGTACGCGTTTTGAATCTGCTAGAATTTGAATAAAGTTCGAACAACTCATTCCTTGCGATTCCCTCAAAAAACCGCTCTGTGAGGCCGTGTGCTGTACGCCGCGAGTCAAGTCGGTGCGTCGATTCTGAAGGGAACGCCGGGCACATGCAGCTAGCGCGAAAGCACTGCAGTACGCAATGGGTTAAATGATGCAAGTATTGCAACTGCCTTACCTCAGATGGGTAATTTCTGCTGTCCTTATGTGCCTGCTGCAAAGTTTATTGACAGATATTACAAAGAGAATTTTCATTCAGTCGTAGCAGCACTAAAGATATGTTTCTCATGTAATGTGGACTGCTTCGCACTTTTTCGTCGTTGATTCATTTTTGACTAAGAAAATTACTTCATTCCTCACATTCCCTTGGTATTATAATGGAGGTCTTCCAAATGACAGAAAGGCCTTTTGAAATAATCACTAGCTCGTCGTAGGGGTGCACAAGACCACCAGAACTATACAGCACTATTGGGAATGGACTCATCCTTTTTTAGCTGCCCTGAGAACTCCAGATATAGGGTTGTTGGTTGAAATGTACCTTCAGCTTTTCTAGTCTTTTGTTGGCATTCATTTTGTAGAGAACTTGTATTGTGGGAACCATCGTTGAGCAGAGACACAACTCATGCGTATTTACGTAATAAATGGTCCTGATAAGAAGCAATATATGTTCCGTTAAGTACTACTGCTAAAAATTACTTTTCTACAAAACATTCCTTTTTTGGTATTATCTGGTAGCTCTGAAAACAAAGTTCGATCCTAAATCTTCTCTACCTATAACTAAAACTTTCGAAGATCTTCTCTGTGGATGGGAAAACCCCTTCATAGATGAATTTTGTCTCGGCCGTAGCCAAGGGCACGGGATCTATAATTCATTCAGTGACGTCAATTTTCTCATCTGTGGAGCTCGGTGCTCAAGCACTGTTTTGTTTTGCGATTTCATTGAAAACAATTGCGACAGAATTATTTATTTTACTCAAAATCTACAGCACTCTATAAAATGAACATGGAAATAGGAGCAATATGGCACAGTAATAGTACTAGATGATGAAGCATGAATACAGTGCACCTAATGTAACACCCCGTAAATAGAATGGCTCTATAGGTTGAAGAGCGATATGACCTAAAAAGTGTGGTATTCATTTTTCTTGAGGGAAATCCGTTTTCCTTGGCGACGGATTAGTTTTCCAAATAGGTTATGAGAATCTCGGAGTGGGCGAAGTTAAGATAGTTAGTTGAATTCAAGTCATTAGATTTGAAGCAAAAATGGAACACAACATAATTAGCTTTGGGCATGAAGATTCGATCGATACATGAAGGAACCATTATATTTGAGTCGAAGTCGTTTTTGTCTATGAAAGTCTCATCTATTTCTACATTTTTCGAATTTCTTTTCTAGCTCTATTACCTTTTTTTTGGTATGAACGGACTCCAATGGACGATCCATGTCAGTGTTTCTGGAGCAGTTCTCTCTAGGGCTTTTCTGTGGTAATTACCAATTGCAATATTTTCGACGAGCTACCTTGGATGTAAGGAATGGTAGAAGCATGGGAGTTCAAGTTTTTGATGATACATCATGGGTAATGTGATAGGTGAATGTTAAATACTTAACGGCAACGGTAGTACGATTCCCTTACCCTTAGTAAACAAGTTGAAGCAGTTTCAGAGCAAGAGGAAGGTTGAGGAAAGAGGGTATGGTAGGGATACATTGTGAATAAAGATGGCTGTGGGAGTGGTTAAGCTCAGATCAGTTGAGCTTGCATATTGTGAGATTGCACGTGTTGATATCCGGTAGCACCCTTGTGTGTTCGTGCCGTCAAGGCCATATCTTCTTCCTTCATCATGAACAAGCTGGCACCATAGAGTGCCGGTGAGACGAGACATTGAGTAAAAGCGAGAAACATGCAAATCGCTGGCCAAAACGCCTCTGTTTGAAAACGCCATGAGTGCTTGGCGTGCATCATGGTGACTGCATAGAATGGCACTTGATACATTGGGCTGAAAAGAATTTCATTAGGAACTAATGAAGTTGAGATCCATGCTTCCTGTGTTGATCACATCATCTTTGGGCTTGTGCTATTTTAGTAACAAAAAAACGTTTTTAGAGAAGAATTTTGAATTTTGGTGGTGTTCTAGGGGCTGTATGGAGAATAATAAGATCAAAATTTTTTACCAACTTAACTAACCACATATACTTTCAATCTATCACTATTTTTTAGAATTCATTTTTTACGAAGTTCCTATGTATGATTCCGTCAGTGGTCTATTTCAAACGTTTTCTTCTCCACTATCGATTTCAGTCCGTTTTCTCTTCTTGACCTCTTTGTAGTTTCCCTGTTCACAACCACTTCCCCTTTTCATTGCTCACAATTTTTTATTCTAAGTTGGTCTTAATGATGGCAATGATAAGGCCTAATGAGGTTCAGAGTTTGACCCTATTGGGGACATGATTAAGATGCTCCCTCTAACGAAACACATGATTGTGGTGCTCCCTCTAACTCTCCTATTGAACCCTATTTCCTGGGCCAAGCAACCAATGAATGTTTATGGTTATTTTGTGCTCAGTGTAAGATTACGATGTAGAGTTATCGCTGCCAGCGGGCGGGTTTTACCGTTTCCCTTGAAATCTAAGGATTTTATTTTTTAAGTGTGTGGAGCATTATTTTTCTTTGATGACGCAAACCTTTAGCGTAATCATGAATGCGTAATTCGAGATATTTATAGCTTTAGCTATGCATTCAACGTATTATTTAATTGAGCAACCACAGAAGGGGCAGAAATTTTGAATAAAACGAAACAGTCAGTTGGTGATTAGAGAAGTTGGGTATTTTATTTCAGTTCAAGATGGGTTTCTCAGGGTAATGAGGAATTTTGATGTCGAAAATAAAATTGCAAAGTTCTGGGCCCAAGATCAAAAACAAAGCTGTCTATTATTAGCTTTGTTCATATGCCAGTGGAAAGACTTGGCAATCACGCACATTTTTTGAAAGGACAATAATTCAAACAAAAGTTTCATTGCTTCATCCCAAGCATTTCTTCATCTTGCACTTATTTTAGGTAAAAACCAATTTCCAATTCTCTAACTTTACAATTGTATACTCTTTCGATTTCAAGTAATTATATTCAAAAGAAAATACCCTGAGTGTAGGCAAGGAAACACCTCTCCTACTGTAACACTAAATGAGACTATTTCCGCTTCTCAAGTCAAGAATGTACTTTACAGTGAGTATTGATTTTCCCTGCACACTTTTGATATCAGTTTCTTTTGAGTATTGAATGAGAAGGCTGTTCAAAGTGTGGAAGCTGCCCAGCAGTTGGTATCGTAGGAATAATGATTGACAAGAAAAATGACTTTCTTTTTCATCGTTATTGGAAAGCAGTAATCTCCATCAACTCATTTTTGGCTTAGTTGTATCGCTTTTTGAAGCGGACCAAACGGGTTGTAAATAGAGCTTTAAAAAGCGTTCCCGTGGAGTTCTTCCCTAACTGTGTTGTTATTCATATTCTAGATCAATTTCCGAAACGAAAATTGAAGTGTAATTGGATCTGGGCTATAAATATATGTTGTGGTCGATCCACTATCGTTTTTCAAAGTCTCTAATCCCTCTCCCTCTTTTTGTATTCACCTGAATAGAAATGCGTAGACGAGAAATCGGCTTTTGTAGAGTCCGAGTGACTGAAATACAATAGGGCTGTGATAGAGTATTCCAAGAACGCGTATGTAGGCGTAAGAAGAGAATGCTGCCGGAATAAGTACACCGAGTATGAGGAGATAGGTAAGGAATTTGAGGCCGGAATCAGAATGGCCCCAGACACAGTGTCGTAGTGAGGCGTCATAGATGACAATATGTCCGTTGGTGACAGATGGTAGCGCCAGGACCAACGAGATTACCCAGGACAGCATACAGAGAATTCCAGGACGTAGTCCAAATAATTGATCGTAGTGAATTCTAGCGAATGTGAGTAGATGCACACCGGCAATACACAGAGCCATCAAAGCCATTACCGTCCATACTGTGCAGGTAAGTAGGGCCTGAAATGATATAGGGTTTTATCGTAACCTTTAAGTAAATATGGCATGCCTTTTAGTTATTTATAGACGTGCGTGGTGCATATTTAATGAGGGTATTTATTCATGGACCAACGATTGCTAGCCAGGTATGTGATCCCTTCTCTCGTTTGGCCATCTTGGGGAGGGCTATTTTACCTGAAATCTTAGAATAGGGACCAAATTTCTTTTTTTGGATCCGACCCAGTTATCATTTGAAAAACCAGATTTGTTTGCTTTGAAAGGCCTGCTGCAAAGCGCTGAGGGTCCTGCAATAGTATATTTGTGGGAAGTGCCTTGGGATATTGCTGAAGGTTTTTCTAATGGATAGCGGAAGAGGATAATCTTTCGTGAAGATGATCGGAATAACCCCCTCCCTCGACCGATTGACCTAAGACAAGGGAGCTACCAATGTCTTCCCGAATGATCCTTAATCGTAATCGCCTCATTTGGGGGACCTCGCTTAAAATAGCAATGGATTGAATGGTGTGTGAATCGTGGGCGTTTTGTGTCTGGGAAAAAGCAAGTTTGAAATAAACAGCGTTGAATTTTCCCATGCGTAAGGTGAGAAGAAAGCGGTGCATTGGGGCGAAGGTTTATGCATGAAGAAGCATTACGGCCTGAGAAATAGCCCTATAATAGCGTGAGATAAGTTGAAGGTGTCCCTATGCCATGGTTATAGGGATAATTGTCTCTCGCGGAAACGCGTACGTCAGCCACCCCAGGTAATTATTCTTCGAGTTATCGAAAAAAAAAACGAGAGCGCGTATAGCTGACGAGCTTTTAAAGAGGCTTTCAAGAGCGATGCTGTGAATGAAAATCGTCGCCTAGATAGGAAATATATGCAAAGAAAAAGAATCCGTAAAAAGAATTCTCACTTGTAATCGGCACATGAAGTTGCTCTCTTGGAATACATTAACTCCAGTCCATAATGTATAAAGAAATATGGGAATCAGAATCATTAAAGCTACAAGATTTGTAATACATAAATGGGCAATGAAATGCGATGAAATAAAATTTTGATAGAGTTTATGGATAAGAATATAGAGGAATAATGCCAAATTGCCGACAATACCAATAAGTGTAAAACAACCGAATATAATAGCTAGCGGTGGTGACGGTGCAGAAACATGCGTCATATTCGCATAGGCTTCATCAATTTCGGACGAGTTCCACATTTTTGCCGACTACCGACTATAGTCGTGTGTCACCGGAGTGGACTTGGCAGTAGGGATTCTGGCTGTTATTCAGCGTGGTGACGAAACTGCTGCTTCGACGTTAACGCGTTTCGTGACTGCGTCCGTCGTCTGTCGCCTTATGTCTGGCGCGTCTCGTCGTCGACCTGAGCCCTCGTCGAGACAGACGTCGGCTCCGCCTTGTTCGCGGCGCGCGCCGACAACGAAAGGGCTACGACAGGCAGGGCAAGCCTCCCGGCTGCAAGCCAATCGATTCACTGCTGCTCTCCAGTAGCAGCTGTGCCCTCCACTTTCCGGGTCCGCACTTCAAATTTCGATTCAGCCATGATGGTTGTGGACAAGCCTGGACTATCCGAGAAGTGGGCAACTGGCAGTTCGGTTCTACGCGATGGCGTGAAATGCCTGTCAAAGCGCTGTTGGCACAAAGAAAAAGAGCTCATGCTCGGTAATATGTGTTCCGAAGTTTGTTGGGTATTGTGAAATAACGACCAGTTGGCCGATTGACATGAGCTTGCATTTCAGTCGGAGGGATTGGAAATTTCATGGGGTGAGCGGTCTCGGAGATCAGGTCTGTCATTTGTCAGTCACACGTCCGTCGTTGTGCTGTCCGTCGAAGGTCGTTCTGTGGAATGAATAGTTTTTTCTTAACCACCTAAAGCTTTTCCAGAAATCATTTTCTAAATGGACTTTGCAATAAACCGCGAAATGTGCCCGAGTAAGGGGTTTTTCCTCAAACTGATCGAAGATGAAGTCCACTAAGAAGTAGAACTGGGAACTTACAAAGGGATAGGGAACATTACAATCAGTTCCTGGCTTCGTGATCTAGCTAGTTCACAGAGCCAGAAACTGATTCACTGAACGAGTCACATGGCTTCTGAGTCATGTTGTGATCAGTAGTAAAGCGTGATGATGGATGTTCAGGGTGTCCGTGCTGGGAATAGCCGATAGTAGTACTTGTACTCTTGTGCCCAGTGCTGTGAGAAGCGAATAAATGCAATTAGAAGTGGAACGCTATAATTAGAATTTTCTCAGAATTAATATGCGTTGATCGATTCACCAAGGTGAAGCTGCGAGCGTAGGCGGCCTCCCCAAGCAGTTAGCTCTACGGTTGCTAAGCTCTAATGAGGAAGTACTCCCTTTTAATTATGGTTCTTACGCATATCGAGTGTGTGAGTACAAAAAATGGAGTATGGTTATACTCAAAACAGGAATCTTACTGGCAATAAGCAGCTACAGAAGCGTAAGGTAACGTTTCTACGTGATATGGGTGTCTTCGTAGTGGTCCAGCATCGGTAGGCGCTGTTAGCGATATGCCGCTTCCTTCTGAAGAGTAAATTTTCCCTTTCGTAATCACGTGGCTGGTCAATCTCTCTCACTGAGTACCAATGATTCTCCGTCTTTGATTCCTTGGCTACTCGCCCTATCTACCCTGGACGTGGTATGATTTAGTATCCCACGCTATGTCCGTAGTTATACTAAGTTCTTTAAGTATAAGGAAGAAACTTTTGCGCAGATTTTTCAAGATTTACCGACTCATTCTCACTTGCGAACTACAAACAGACCTCCTCGATTGTCAATTTTAAGCTTCGCACTTTGACATTCGCTTCGAGCCTTAACAAATCCATATTGTCTCTGTTCTCTAAGGAAGATTGACATTCTTCAATGAACACTGTCATCCTCTGACACGAATAACTCCATGGCCTATTGCGCACCGAATAGAGAGACGGTTGGAGTTGGTACTTGCTTGTCGCTCTACAAGCTCTGCCGCTTTGATGCTCAATGAAACAGTGAAACAAGGAACTAGTCATGATTCTGGTAGATGCACAGGAAGGATGATTGGATATCGCTTTCCTTAGTACTGCGATGTGCGTAGCGGCTTAGAAATAACTACATTTACAATATTGTAGATTTTTAAAGTTGCATTCACTATTAGAGAAGTATCATTACATGACAGAATTTATGCAGCCTAAAGCACTTCATTCGGGGTATTTCACGAACAAAGTTCTTCGGTATTCATAATTTACTCCGGAAGAAATGCATCGCAGGCTGCTCAAATCCTTTGACGAAGCCGGCATGTGCACATGACAGGTTAATGCTGCTATAAGGCCATTGAAGTTGTCGTTACCCGATGAGGAACAGCATCATTTAGTCCATTGGTCAGGTGAAAAACTTCAGTTTTAGGTCTTAATGGGAGAGGCACATGTAATCTCTGAGAGGTCAATGCCGTGAATCCTGAGAGCTTCTAACGTTGTAGTAGCTTCCTAATTGTTACAAATGCACTATGTAGTAGCAGTATAATACATAGCTCTCGGGATCTTTGAGGGAAGATAACAGTAAAAAAATGTGCAGGCGCGATTTGGGTGCTCCTTATCACCACCTTGTGAGGTTTGACCTTTGAAACTGTAGGAGAGATTTCCGTACCGAGAGAGATGAAAGAACGGTTAATGGACCTTCAGTCAACCAATTTTATTTGACTTCTTTTAATGCTGTCAGTGTAAAAGTGGAAAAAAGTAGAATGCAGCCTTTTTTGAGCGTATATTTCGGGAAGGAATTGCTCATTTGCATATGGCTGTTCTTTTCGTTCGCGAGAACGTACTGGAGCTTATGTTTTCGTCCTTTCCTGGAAAATTTGGGAGTTAATTGTTTTGAGACTTGGACATAATTAAGCTAGGACTAATGGATTGGTTCCAAGAATTTCTAATTCCAAGGGCGTTCACCGTTCAATTGAAAAGTCGTAACGAATCCTTGGCTGATGAAGCTTTCAAATGTTGCGAGCTAAAATGAGATTCTTCAAAAAGTTTGTTTAAAACGTTAAAACGTTAAAACGTTAAATGCAGAATCTATTACGAGAAATGCTTCTGTCGTCATACATTCAGCATTCGGAAAAAGGTCTGTGTAGCACAAAATGTTTGCAAAGGCGAATGAGTCAGGGATAGAGCGTTGGAAACCAAATCATACCAATCTAGCATACAATGTAGGGTAGTATAGGCTTAAGTAGAGAAACGGGAGGCGTAACTAATCAGTTTTGATCGGTCCCATTGTTGCCATTAGAGGCAATGGTAGCCTTATTGTTTGTGGCACAACATTTTAATTGTGCTGTTCATGGGACTATACCGAAGCTGTTTTTCTTTCCCTCAGAGTCCATTGACTTGTCCTGAAGTTGCTTTGGAGACAATGACGTAATAATGACTATAAGTTGCTATCAATTCTACAGAGTAGGTCAGATGTACTCTCAATCGAACCCATAATTGTGAGGGAAATTAAGCATGTGGCTTTCTCCAGACGAGCAATCGATATTGTTCTGAACTGGTAGAGCGAAATAGGTTTGCATTCCATAACATATATCGTATCATTTTAACAGAAATCAAGTGTCTTCATTGTGGACCTTTATTGTCTGTATTATGAGATGATTTTGCCAAGTGTTTAGAGAAGATTCCAGAAAATCAAAAGAAAAAAGTCTAGCGTATCAATTTGATGAGTGTTCTCTCGTTTTCTCTTTTTATAACTCATTTTTCGTACATAATTCCAGGCAATCGGAAGCCATGGCGAGGAATACTGTTGTTTGGTCCACCAGGTACGGGTAAATCGTATATCGCAAAAGCAGTAGCAACAGAAGCAGATAATTCGACGTTCTTCTCTGTATCGTCATCAGATCTCATGTCAAAGTGGCTTGGTGAATCAGAAAAGTGAGTGAAATTGTCATCACATATGTTTTCAATGATGGTTTTGAGGACCAAAGCCGTAGGAAACACTTGTTTCTCATTGATCTCATCCCCCTTAGATCCTAGTCTCCCAGAGGGGTTGCCAGAGATGATTTGTTTGAGTGAGATTCTAATTTTCATATTTCAATCCCACTTTCTTGAAGAATCGGCGCAGTACGATACAAAAACTTGTCTGATCTCCTGGATTCACATTTAATGAAATAATTTTCTTGTGGCTCACTCCAAAATTTTTGGACTGGGTAGGAATTGAGCCAAGGTTTTTGTGGTGTCTATGCATTAGAGAGTTGTTTGCATTTCTTGTCAGGGCAAAAGGGTCGCTACAAATTTTCATCAATACCTCGTCAATATTACCACATGTTCGAGTGAGGGGACCGTGATTGCTGAAACTTCTACTGGACGCCAACTATTTTCGTCTCTCTCTTCTCGTCTCTTTCGTACAGGAGACGTAGAGTATAGAATAGAGTCATCTCTTTCATTTACTTAATTTCTCGAATGATTTCCTTCGGTGGGATGGGTAAGGAGTGAAAAGGGAAAGAAAGGTGGGAAGAATGGAATCGCATTGTGGGGAAGTCGAAGGGAGTAATTCATGAAGTCCCACGAGACAAATAAGCGCTTGAGCCTGCATCTAGGTTTTGGAGAAAAAGCACGGGTATGAGCGAAAGGTGCTGGGGGAATTGGTCGACCGGCTAGTCAATTCCCGTTTGTGGGTGGGAAGGTTTAGCAGGACATGTAACCTTTGCTTTGAACTGAACTTTGCATTGTTCGCTTATTTGTTTACATGAGGCAGCGTTCTTTTTTTTATAGCCGACTTCGCCAAAAGGTCGTGTCTTGCTAAGCATGGACTCGTATGCTTTGCAATCTTGAACAGAAGTCGTAGGCATGGCTTATTGCAAATGGATTCACCTATGTATAGTATAGTATAAGTGTAATGGACTTGACCCTTTCATGCCCATCAATTGAGTGAGATGCAAAAAATGCAAGTATGGACTGAAGTCTGCCTTCCAACTGGCTTCCAACATTATGGTTTCAGTGGTGGGGTAAGGATCTGATATCCACTTGATCTGAGCTGTAGAAATTTCCGCAGAGTTTCTTAATTGTATGTAAGAGTGGTAGCTTTGGGTAACTCGTCTCACATAAATCTCCGAAATACATCGCAAGAAAGATAGCTTACGCTAAAGCCTCAATACTGGTCCATGCTGCTATTATAGTCCACTTCTTTCGTTGATTTTGGAATGAAGGGGGGCAATTTGTACCTGCGAGTGGTCACGTTTGTTATCAATTTTTTTTAGATTGGTGAAGAATCTGTTCGCTCTTGCTCGGGAACACAAACCATCCATCATTTTCATCGACGAGGTTCATCATTAATCTTATTTTTTTTTCTGTTCAATGAGCTTTTATCGAGAGATTAGCGGAGGTGCTTGTGTTTTGCACGACAAGGGTTTTTCCCATCACCTATCTGTAGTGAGCTTCAGGACGCAATTTTGCGTCATTATAATGGATTAATTTGCGCGTTGCTGAAATATTTCCCTTCACTTCAACCAAGGTCATCGAAAAAACAGTCGCGTGCATCATCATCAAGGATTCTATTTCAAATTTCTCTTATTTGGACAATGAGGGTGGGAAAAATGACCAGCGGTGTACGATTTCCGTAATGAAGGGTCTCGTTCTGCAAGCAAGGTGAACTGTCCACTGTTGAGGCCATATATAAGGGAGTCACTGAAAGCGTGGCGCCAACTGATTGAATTGCTAAACGCTCGACGTTTTGTCATTGGTTCTTTTTATCCATCTGTACGTGACAGTTGTCAAGAATTTTTCGATGGACTCGCCTCTGGCTGTACACCTGGTGAAGGTTGATCACCTTGAATATGCGGTTATGACAGCGAGATCACAAAAGAACTGGAGGGTCAAGCGGCTCAGTAAGCAGCCTCGTTCTGGTCGAAAAAGTTGTTTATATTGGTGTCGACCAGGCGAGAGCAGTAGGTCGCTTTGTTGTTGAAAGAAAATGAGTCCCCTAGAGCTTATTGATGAGGTATTGAGGAGTGAGCTTGGTGGATATAAGGCGCTATTGCAGCGAAAAATCCCTTTATACACCCTAATGAGCAATAACAACATGTAGGAACCCCGCCCTCGTCAGGACTGCCCCCCCCCCCGGACGAGTTTCCTGTACTCGCTCGTACAACAGAACGCAGCAACAAAGCAACAAACAAGCACTACTGCAAAATATGCCTTCAAGACAACTTCCATTTCTCATTATACAATTCCACTTAAGTATTGTCCCAGATACAATCTTCCAGAGTAGGTAATACGTTTACTCTAAACTTATTACCTACTCTTGAGGGAAATCGAACTTTGTAATAAGTCAGTGATAACTGCCTAGTAAGCTTTGTTATTTGAATTATGGAGCCATTAGCTCAATTCGAGCTTACTTCATTCTTGTTTTTCGATTTCTTCTAGTGTTTCCTAGAAGTCTCCAAAGTTGGCTGCTCTCGTTTCCCATGTAGCTAATTTAGAATTTATAACTACCACATGTTGTCGCTTTTTTCATGCATTTTTCTGTGTTGTTATGTAAATGCTTTAGATCGACTCATTGTGCGCTTCACGATCGGACACTGAAAGCGAGAGCGCACGTCGTGTTAAAACGGAATTTATGGTGCAAATGCAAGGTGTTGGCCTCAATAACGATGGCATCCTGGTACTTGGGGCCACGAATATCCCATGGATTCTGGACGCTGCTATAAGAAGGTGCATTTTGTGTGACAGTTTCGGAAAGAAGGAGTGTTAGATGTAGTAAACCGAGTTCACTTTGAGCAAGCACTCAGGGATGCAGCACTTCAAAGTAGCTATCGTAATTTGAGTCTCATTCCTTTCTTTTTCATTCAAACAACCTTGGCTTTTTGGAAGGCGCGCTCTAATAGTTACACCGATGTCTATGACAGAGGACAACTAACAAAATCTCCACTAATAGGCATGATTACGAGCTCAATAACAGCCGTACCTTTTGCTATAGTTACTCATCTTTGAGTAGTTACGTTGCTATGGCTTATTCAATTAGTTGTACACCTATGCTTTATGTAGTAATTCGATCGGAATCGAAGGTAATTAATGCTATGTTGTCGCGAAGTTTTCTGACCCAAGTCCACTCCTCCTCATCATGGGATGCGGCTCATGATGGATCATACGGCTTTTTACGTAGTGGTTATCAAAAGTAACCCTTTTTGACGTGGTTTGCGGACCGTTACTTCAAGTACCATTGTTAATCAATGATTTCCTGACTGTCATAGGCTGTGCGGTAGCTGTAATTGTTGAGTGATAACTGTCAGATACAAGAAGTTGGAGGAGTGTTAGAAATTTTCGGCTTTCAGGCGTTTCGAGAAAAGGATTTACATTCCTCTGCCAGAGATGAATGCACGCAAGGATATGTTCCGCTTGGATGTCGGCCGTAATAATAACAACCTTACAGATAACGATTATAAGGTAATCAGTTTGAGAATCAGATGTCAGTGGTATTAGCGCAAATGATGGCATTTCTTACTATACAATATTTCACCATTAGGTGAGCTAATATTCCTCATTCCTATCGCCTCATAATACCGAAGATTTATGGCAATTCATCGCATAGACCACCAGAACAGCGTAAGGTTCAGATTTTCCCCCGTTGCCCCCGAAAAAATCTCAGGAGGAGCGGCTAGGTTTGCATAGACATAGGACGGGGAAATGAAAAATATTTTGCAATAGGATGCCAAGCTTCATGTGGGTTTAACCCTGCGCATTAGGTGGTTGAACTGTCATGTAATAGTGTTCCCCAGTCGTTCGAACCCATTTCGCGTCAGGGTTTTCTGGCCACGCCCTTTCTTTGGAAGGCCAGAAAGCTTCGGTTGCAGCAGTGAGCAGGAGCTTCTCCTGGCAAGCGAAACTCCCCCATGGAGATTTCTCTCGGAGGCTGCAAACGATCCCAAGCTCCCCATGATCGTAGTATTTGCGAAGTCACAGTAAATGCGTCCTTAAGTCGTAATATTTTGAAAATTTTATTTTCTGTTCTGTAGAGCTCTTCAATTTCAGCTGTTAGCCGAGCGTACAGAAGGCTATTCCGGTTACGATATTAACATTCTTGTGAAAGATGCGTTGATGCAACCGATTCGACGTGTGCAATCAGCTACCCACTTCAAGTTCGTGTTTCCTTGGAATTTTACCACAGTTCCAGCTCATCAGAAAACTTTTTTAGATATGTGAGTGGACCATCACCATCAGATCCGAAGGTGATTGTGCACGACCTGCTTGCCCCATGCAGTCCAGGTGACCGTGGAGCGATGCCGATGAGCTGGTTGGATGTACCCGGTGATAAACTAGCTGAACCGATACTTACAATGGTAAGTGTAGTTGAGTGTAGAGTTCGGGATTATTCTAAGAGGAAATAACTGAGAAGTGAAACTGCTCCATGTACATACGTTCGAAAGAGCAGAGTGGTCACCTGTGATTATGGGTAGGAAAGTTGCTCGTAAAGCAGTCTCAAGTGCCTCCTACTCCCGAAGGCGAAACCCAGCGAATCGAAATGTGCGCTTCTTGATTGCTTAGTGGCAGTGTAGGAGACCGGGGTAATCCTAGTACCGATGAGTTAGTTAGGGTATAGTCCAATTTGATCAATCGATTCTTTTAGTATGTCCTTTTCATCTCATTTTAGGAGTAGTAGCAGGGATGGTGTGCTGGGGATGTAGAATGCATAGTTGTCATGAACATTTGTTGGCCTGAGCTCGAAGAGTGTAGTTACGGCTCTTTCTGACCCATGCCTAAACGTGGATAATGCCTAACATTTTATGGAAGGTGAAACCCTCTGACCACAACGCTTCTTTCAGCATGATATGCTGAGGTCTTTGGCGACAGTGAAGCCGACTGTAAACGCTGCTGATCTGACGAAATTGGAGCAGTTTAAGAACGATTTCGGTCAAGAAGGCTAAGAAGAGCTTCGCGGAGCAATGGTGAAATGCGGTGTATTTCACGCGGTTCGACGCCTTGTTATGTATATTTCATAAATTCATTCGTGCTCTCTTTGCTCCTTTATACCATGCACCGGTGTGCCCCGCTTATTCCAGAAGGTCTACTTTTGATAGAACAGAAAAATTATAAATTCATTTGTAAATAATGGGGCCAATAGAGTATCAAGGTAGAAGAGGCGTTAGCTGAGGTTGCTTCCATGCTTTGGGATGGGTATTGATTTTGCGCGCATATAATCAATTTCCGTCCTCCATTCAGCTTGAGCCCCAGTACGAAGTGTGGAAGTGGCCTAACGATTTGCTTTTCTTTTTGTTTTTTTTTTTACGTTGCGTGCGTCTTCCCGATAGATTTCCATTTTCCCTCTAGAGTACTTGAGTGATCGTTTCGTGGTGCTCGAGAGCGAGTTTTGAAAATCCCAGAAGGGTTTTTGTTTTTTATTCAAAAGCTTAACGTAAAATTCCGATTTAATGCTAATGAAGCAGCATTTGGATGTGCTTGGATTCAATAAGTTGCTTCGAGTCCTACAACAAATTACCGTATTCCCGTCTAGGTATTTATTTATGTTCTCTGATTTCACAATTTTGTTTTGCCGTAGTGTTTTTCTTTTGGAAAGAGATGTGTATTCATGAAGGTTTTCTCTCTTTGATTTGTTTCCTTGTCCCTAAAATTACCGTATATTTGAAACATTTCACATTTGTACTAGTAGAAAACATGTTTCCATAGTTTCTTGTATAATTTTCTGATCGTTGTCAAATAAGACCTGTTTGGGGGAATGTGATATTCTCGCCGAATAAAAGTACAGTCTTCAGAAATCAAAGTGTAAAAGACAATGAAGCTTCCAATTCCTAAGAAAACTGTGCATAACATACGGGAGCCAGCCTCCTCTCTTTCCATGCACAAGCCCATATATTTGATGGATAAGTTCTCGAACTTTCACCTGCACTTGCTGATCTTCAAAGTAGAGTGAAGTGCCCTGGTGTTGGTAATTCCCGTTTTAGAATGTTCCCAAGAACTCGGTTTCCATTTAAAATCCTATTGGCGTCAGAAAGGCGTATGTGGCCTATGGAGTGAAATGTGATAGCCAGGTGACGTTCAAGTCAGTTCTGTTACTTTCACAGAACACCTTTCACAGAGTCTGGCACCAGTTATGGGAAACCGGAGCGATTCAACGTTTGATTTGCATAGAGGATATCAGTTTGGGGTCCAGACTTGAAAACCTGGGATTAGGATCTCGAGCTGATACCCAATCAGGTCGAACTCAACCTCGTTCAACCTTCTTTCCTTTCGAGATTTGCTAATTGAAACCAGACTGCTCCGGGAAGAGGAAGCTTGATTCAATCAGCAGATCGGCTGGATTTCACTTGATCAAAACCCGTAATCTTCTGACTTCTAGACGCTTGAGCTGTACACTTTAATTTTTGAGTTCAAGGAACAGCTATTCGATAGGTTCACGAAAGACCAATACTGTCAAAAGCACTATGAAGCCTAAAAAGCCTAAGCGTTACAGGAATCTGAGTTTTCAGAAAAACTTTGGTCTCAGACAGTACTCGTATCTGTGCCTTACAGGGACCGTGCTCTTCATTCCTTCCAATGTAGCATTGAATATTTCTTAAAGGTTCTACCAATGACTAATGATTCACCCTATCTAAGTAGTAGTAATAGTATAGTCTTCAACCAATCCACTTCAAGAACCCAAGGCTACTTGCCCTTTTTTGGCTTTCATTGAAATTGCTTCTACTTTTTGTGCCTGTAGTGCCCGACACTGCAAAGTGAACATCATGTCGGAGGGATGAATTCGTTTGTCTCCGGAAAAACTTCTGGATAATCATTTTCCTGGAGCATTACATAACGTGAAGTACTTTACACAGTGCATAGCGTGTCACAGTGAGAAAACGATCTGCTTTCTCGAAATGTGTTCTACGCAAAGCCATTGATCTAAAGCGGAACTCGGGTTCCCATCAGTTGTAGGTAATATATGCTTGGTAAGGTGTACATGCCTCTGAATAGAGTTCATGCCAACGTACAATTGCATATCTGTTATTGGGGAAAAGAAATGAGCCAGCATGAGAAAAAAAGCTATTACGAGCGTAATAACAGACTGTCGTAGGTAGAAGCGGCGTAAACTCCACCTCCTTGGTAAACTCCGCCTCCCGATAAACGCGTAACCAAAGACACAAGACGCATCATGTCATAACATGATATACCTGAAACTGTAGTAATGTGGGTATCGGTCTGTAGATTTGAACTGGTTATGTTGCGAATGTGATGACATACAAGCAAGTATGAACGTGTATGAACGGTCAGTTGCACTTGTCTTCTCGTACACTCCCTTGAATCACCGGAATTGATGGCCGCATTGAGCCAAATTTTTGACCAATCAATGTTTTTTATTGACTGTTCAAAAATTAATTTTTTTCTTGATCACCCAATTTTTTTCATTCAAACTTTTGGTGGATTTTTTTTTTTAAATGTGAACTAATAGTCTTACTTTCATAGTTTATCGTTATCTTTGCTGAATTACCGTTTCACCGCTCTCAAACGAGCCTTCCTGAAGTCACCTTGAGATTGGAAGTGTTTGATTTTTCGAAGATGCGCCACGTACTCATATTTCATCTGGTATAATTGTATTGTCGGATAGTTGCTTCATGCGATAACATGGGGATGCTAGCTGTTACTCATGTACTATAACTCGTTAACCATGGTCGAGAGTATATTGGTATCCATTCAGGATTACCTGTTTTCGAAGGAAACTGAACCTGACACATGAGATTAATATTTTCGGCATATAGAACAGAGGAGGGACCCACTTCCCCTGCTCCATCCCTCCTTCCCATTGATGGTACTAGTGTATCCCGAAAATATGCCCGAATATGCATAGCTATTGAGGTGGGCAGTATTTCATCAACAGAAGACGTCTGGTGGTGGTTAGCTGGCGGCTGTTGGGCCCCTCGCTGAGCCTCAGGCAGGACACGTATCGATCGCCGCCCTCCTGGATAGGCGACTTCAGAGCGCTCTTCAGTTGGATGACCTTATGGAAACACAAATGGTGGCCGTTTTATGGGCGATTCTTCTCTATTTAGTTGAACAACTAACAGCACAGGTCGGTTTCATTCATTTCTTTGTCTTGACATTACTATTTACAGTCAATTACTTCTCAGAGAAAAAAAATTTTTTTTTGTTTTTTTTTGGTTGCATACTAATCAACTTCCTTGTGAAAGAAACTTCGCCTTACAGTCCCATTTTCAAGTTTATAGGAAAATGGTTTTTCCAATGATGGGTTTGCAAGCCATTCAGTGCCACCCGCAAAGCAATCAGCTGATTTCTCTAGGCCTCTCTCCTCCATTGTGTAGCAGAGCGAAGCTCGAAACGCCATATCCAGACTGCCATTGAAACTGAAGAAAAAACTTGGCGGATTTCTCTCTTATGCGTCGCTTACTCGATTTTCATTTGGAATTATTGAAGCATTTGAATCACCCTTTTGCCTACTTACTCCACAACCACTCTAGACCCATGTTTTTGTGGCTTTTTGAACAAATTGTTTTCCTTGTGACCGCTCCTGGGAACCAAGTGGCTCACGTGGATGTGAAAAACATACATATCTACATCTATAAGACACGTGCGATAAATTGGTTTTTTGGAAAAGCATCAACTTTACGTGGATGGATTTCTTGGCGATTGGTCCCTTAGTAGCAGTGGTTTGAATCCAAAAAGCTTATTATACTTCTTTTTGACAATTCTTAACCATAGAATGAAGACTGCTCCCTCTACCACTTTCCCTGGTTTCCCTAGAACTGATTTGTGGGTCCAGATCTTATTCAGCAGAGAAACTGACTGCTGACAAATTCATTTCGTCTTCGAAGTTCAGCGTAATGGAATAGTCTCGGCGTGGCCTGCCTAATTTGAGGGCAGTATGATCTAGTACTGTTTCTCAAGATTTTTAGAACAGAGAGGTAAGGTAGCGGTTATCCGGCGAACCAAAAAATCGGGGGACGCGGAAGCGTGTTCATATCGAACGGATCCCAAGCCTTCAGCATGAAACTAAACAATTTTCACAAATTTAATTACCTGCTGTGATGTCTTTTCATATTCTGCGATACGAATCTAGCATGTCATCTTTCGTAAGAATGCTCAGCCTACAAAAGCAAACTTCTGAATTTTTCTTCAGAATACGTAGGCGTCATGATCCTCATGATTGTCCGATAAGCTGTAAACATAGGGGGTGAAAGGAGTATTTTTAGGGGCCCAAGTGCAAAAGACCCTTTGACGCTCATTAAATTTTTATTCAGTGCGACGCTTTTTGCCCTTTCTACCGTTTCTTCTTTCTGAGGATACTCTCGTATCCTCAAAAAAAAAAAAAAGAAACGAGCTCTCTCTTATAAATAACCTACTGCAAGCTAGGCGGTCAGTGTGATAAACTCCTTTGCCAGAATGAGCGGATACGACCCCCACCTTCCTCCTATAGTGGCTTTTATACTCATACGTGACCCAATGAGCGGCAAAAATATCGGGGTGTATCCAAGGGACCAATCAGCTCAGGTGGTGACTAAACGCACGCAGTATATGAAAGGAGCAGTTATTGGTGTCGACAGCACCTTCAAAAAGTTATGTCAGCGATTATGGGAGTAACGCGCAATGCAATACATGATGAAATTTGATCCAACATTAGCTTATGGTGTGTCACGTATTTGGCCCATTACCGTAATTATACTGGTAAAGCGGTACAAGCCGTTTATACTAAGCGCTTGGTTCTTTTGAGGAGTAAATACGTCATGTTTACATGATGAATTGGATTTGACACTATTAGATATACCGAACAATAAGGAGCCCAAACACTTGCGGGCACGTGATGAAGAGTATAGTGCGATAAAAGCGCAAGCACGAGTTCGAGTCCAATCTGAGGCTGAAATTTCGACATTAACTCAGATCTGTTGAATCTATTGAGACGCTTTCGCATAGTGGAGGTAGGGCACAATGGTTAATCAGAGCACCAAGTCAATTCCGAGGACTACTCGGTAGTATTTTTTTCAACGAAGGGCCTGCCAGTGGTCAGTATTGGAACAAACATCGCCAGATAAATAGAAAATCATGGGCAGGCTCCCCACTATGTAAACATGAAGATGGTATTTGCTGATTAAAGTAAAACTGTATGATCTGCTAAGGTGGCCAGTGATAGAAAAAAAGGAGACAATCACAACTCTGCAAAAGGACAGACTCTTCTAACAATAAAGGTCAAATAAATGAAGTTCTTGAAAAGTCGGCGAAATTCGGTTTTCAGCTCAACTGAGCGATTCCCTGAAATACAGAGAGAGTCAACGTTGTTTTTTTTATTTATGCTCTTGCCTCTTCACCTTATGTAAATTATACCCCTTGGTAGCCGGTCGATCTGTTGGTGCAAAATGTGGCGTGCACTACTTGGTGGGCTTTGATGAATTGGCCTAGAGATGGAACGTCAAATTCCACTGCCAACACTGACATCTCTACTGCCTTCCTCCATTGTTTATTCCATTCTCCGATCAACATCTAGGGTAATATGCCCACAGCCGGCCAAGCACATGACAACACGACCAAAATTCCTTAATCCTTTCAGTGAGAAATTTAGAACGTTAGTGATTCACCGTATCACTATCGTCATCGTAGGCTAGTAATCTTCCCTATCTTTTGCCTACAAGGAACTGAATAAGATTTCTTTTATTGCTGGTTGCAGAACCTTTACTGTTATCGCCAAATAAGGACTGTTGCCGATGATATCGAGAAAGAAGGTCCATTAACTTACTTTCTCATCGATAGGATTAAATCGCAAAATCATAATCTTCGGAAAAAAATGTTGGGAAACGGATTTTGTCTTGCTTGGTTTCATTACCCCTTATCACTTGGTATCACTCCCTACCATATATTCTTGGGGTTTGGTCATATTAAGTGGTCGCTCATCCCTTCGCTTCTATCATTTATTACTGTGAACGCATTACTACATAGACAAGGGTGCAAAAAGTGGGGTAGCACAAGCACTTTTGCACCTCCTTCATCAGCCTTTATCAGTCCTTATCATTGTTTGTCATATGTGTTATCATCTTTGCAAACATCTAGTGAATTTCTTTCCGCTGTTCAAGTCCCTGTATCAGTGGTTTTTAGTTGTTGTCAGTTTCTATATTCCATATCCTAATTTACCGTCCTTCATTACTCAAAATTTGGCTGCTTGAACGACATCTATTTTGTGCAGTCGCTAAATAAGGCTTATTATCACTAGGTATCAAAATCTGACCAGCGTTGATAGAGCTTAATGTGGAGCTGGCTCAAAAAGTCGGATTCGTGTATGCTCTATTGAGAAACAGAGAAGCACCAGCTGGTTCCGTCGCAATTCTGATGTTTTCGGCAGGTGACTAGGCTCTAGTGGAGGTTGTTGTAAGACCCTCCCGAAGGGATGTCCATGATTTCATCCCTCTTATATGTCGCTATTGCTGAGAAGAATTGCTTTCTTGTCAAGCAATTGCGTTCGACGAAGTCCATTTGCTTATCTGAGACTGGCCGGTGGAGCCATTTCCACTTGAAATATTTGAGAAGGCTTTTTATTGTAATCCAAATTTCACGCTCAATCGAAAATATAGATTCTGGGTTGGGAGGAACACGAAGCGAATGAGGAATGAGAAAATGATGAGTTGGGTTGTTTTGGGATTAGGCTCTGCTTTCCGGAAGAATATGGGCTAGAAATGAGCTCTGTCCGATCAGAATCGCAGATCGTTTTCTCCTTACAGTTGAATTTTGTGATTCAAGCCTTGAAATTCGTCTCTGCACTCATAGATAATATTTTTAGAGTAATTCCAATTGCTACTTCATTTTTTTTAGATCTATACTGTAGTATTGGGACGGCGTCGGTGTAGTAGAACACACAATATTGGATCGAATCCCGAAGCGATACTTCCCTATACCAACCAACCTTCCAGACCTCGAGATCGGTTTACCACATTTACTGGTATCACACTCGTCTGAGAGGATTATTAGCTATAACTTGTACATCGGCTGGCCATCACAAGTCATTATATAGGCCAAATCCACATACAAATGCGCCCACTATGAAATGGAATGAAAGCTGAGTCTAGGGCGCACCCTGAAGACGCAGAATTGATTTATGGCAAGGACTTCATCTTTTTAAGTGAACGCATACACCTTTTACCAACCATAATATTTACATGCTCAGGCTACCTTGTTGTTTGCCTACGAATTCCTCATTGCTCCCAGAAAAGAATTTCAATTGCTACGCTATAATGAGATAAAGCGTGCCATTCTGATTCAGAAGAAATCCCTCAAATGAGATTCGGCAGTGATGAATCGACGACTGTTCTAATTTTCATGCTGAATGGGAGCCTTTCTTTCCATTAGGGAAAAATGGCTTCAGACGGTCCTTGAAAAAAATAATAAAAACCGATGAAATGGCCTTTCATCGGTTTTTATGTCCGGACGAACCCCTGTTAGAACCCGTATGCAAGTCAGCAAAAAGGTAGCTGTTGGGGTCGGGCACCTTCAGGTAGAGATGGCCCTTGATTCTTGAGACTTTTTGTAGTTTCACCAAAACCGTAGGTTCCTTCCGCCTGCTTTCAGATATCTATTCAAGTAAGAGGTACCCTCAGGTGTGGGGTAGGGCACCTTCAAAATCAGTGGGCCCTTTTCGTTCTTCCTATTCAACCAAGTGATAAAGGGCTGCCTTGAGAGGCAGCATGCAACTCTTATACAAAATTCGTCACAGAAGTTGTAGTGCAGGATGGAGACGTTTCGTAGAATCCCAACTGCTCTTGATGGCTCTTCAGTTACCGTAGTAGTTATTGGCTTCATCGGTAAGAGTCACTACCGCCATGAAAAGTAATCCCTTCCAAAGTAGAAGATTCCCCTAGACTTACATAAAGGGATTCGGGAGCTGTTTTCGTTATCAGTATGTAGCTGGTCTGAAGTTATTAGGTTGATGCATAATTATTGCGTTTTTTTAGCAAATTTTACTTGAAGAAACGATAGAAATGTCTAGGAAAGACATGTTCAAGTAATTGCTCTGTAACATATCCACCATCTACGTCAAGCACTGCTTCCCATTTGCTAGGCAGTCGGATGCCCCCAGACGAAGTAGCTGCGATTCTTGGAGGCGATCACGCCTTGACGTTGGCCATCTAGCCGTCCACTTCGTCGAAAGTTGTGTTCGTTAACCAATTTTTCAAAGGGCGATCGAAGTGATAAACCATAGAAGTATCTGTTGTTGAATAGGGAGACCGCAGAAGCAGATTCCATTCCTTATTCGGCTTTGGCTGACTGTTCTATCGCCGAAAAATTCGTTGAGATCACGTTATGAGTGTGCCACATTCCAACATTTCTCGAAGTAATAGAGCATAATTTGGCGTATATGACGATGACTTTCTAGACATATTTCTGTTAAGGAAAGCGAGAAGATTATTTCTACAAAATCTCGAATTCAAAAGTTTAATTTTATCGAGAGAAAAGAAGCCGCGAAAAATCCGCAATAATTTTGCATCAACCCAATATTTTACAAATTTTTGTAAACCAATTCACCCTCTCATAATAGTGTCCCCATCCTGCAAACGAAAATACTCGGAAACAATGTACAGAAATGTAGCCTTACACTCTCATGCCACTTTCTCTGCTTCTTACTTTTTCTTTTCTCAGGGAGTAGTTTTTCAACGTTCCTTTTATTTCAGCTCGAAACCTCTATGGGCATGCGGTCGAACCTTGACGATGCTCGGCGAAAAGAACTTGTAAATCAATGTCCGGGTGAACACTCATTCTTTCATTTTTTTTTCTGGTGCAAAAGATTTTTTTGATATTTTCCTTTTGAATGATTTGTTTACTTTCGAAGTCAATGGTGTATGTGAAAAAAAGGCTGGTGTGAGATTGTGAGATATGAGGCTCGTAATCAATGGAAGGTGGGGATAGAATCGATTATAGCTCAACGATTTTCTTCTCATTCGTCCTCATGCCTTTACCTTCGTCTACGGTTCTTCTTATTCTTACATACCTATTTTCTAGGCATAGTACTGAATTGGGGAGAGGAATAAGTCGAGTGTGGGAATGGGATTGATCGATGCCATTTACTTATCTGCGGCCCATCGGGTAATCGTGATATTGTTTTTCTAGGTGAATGGCAATTTCCGTGTCGTAATGGGGAGTGTATAGCACGATATGACGCCTGCGACGGTATAGCNTATTTTCTAGGCATAGTACTGAATTGGGGAGAGGAATAAGTCGAGTGTGGGAATGGGATTGATCAATGCCATTTACTTATCTGGGCCCATCAAGTAATCGTGATATTGTTTTTATAGGTGAATGGCAATTTCCGTGTCGTAATGGGGAGTGTATAGCACGATATGACGCCTGCGACGGTATAGCACAGTGTTCGGATGGCTCTGATGAGTGGAATTGTGATCAGTGGAGGTATTGCTTCAGTGCTGTTTTTAATGTTAAACCTGTCTTCTACCTAAGCCACTATGGCTAGTTCAGATTTTCCATTACATTTTACGAGCGCCCCTAATGGATAGGCTCTTCGGATTACTCTGAGAGTCATGAAAAAGCATCACCAATTTCAGTAACAGCTTGGACAGGAAGATCTGAAGTAATCTTCCAAGAAAGCCCAAAAGAAAATCAAGCGAAGTGCACGAAAGTGAAAAGTCCAACTGTTAAGTAGATATCCACTAAAAAGCACCATATGCTCCCTGTCGTTTACTAGATGCACGGGAATATTTGTGGACCGACCACCACAATTCAATCAACTGAATAGGAAGAGCTAATACTCTTTTCCTTATTTCGAGAAGAAATCCTAGAAAGAACACTCTACATACGTATGAATCTTTTCAGGCCTCTTTCCACTTAATCGGGTTAGACAAGATCCCTATATCCTCTTCGATTCACCCCTACTCTAGCTACCTCTACCTGCTCTACGTTTCACACCCTTTCCTTAGCCCTGTTACTTATCTTCTGTAAAAAGCAAAATGAATCCGAAATGTAGTGTAGGTGAGTTTTGGGAGATGTTAGAAGCGGCATCTTATCAAATAGAGTATACTAAAATGTACATGTCGAATACCAGGCCGTAATAGATCACTTCCACTCCAGTCGTGATCAATGACCCGTCCAAGCGTTCTTTCCTCCTGCTTAACTAACTGGTAAAATCATCCGGTGAAATCACTCATTTCAAACGATGGGTTGCATCGTTAAGCTAAAAAAAATTTGGCAGCTTTAAAAGTGTGCTGAGCAACGTCAGGGGTTTCGTCTCATGCACAGACTTGAGGGAATACCTGATCATTTCAAATTTTCGCCGTCAAAAAAGTCTACCCTCTATTAGTAGTAGTGTGCCGACTTCGGGGGG